ATTTTAAAATATACAATTCAATAATTTTTAGCTTAATCACATAACCTAAAATAAGTTTCATCATTCCCAAAAGAAACTCATTCCGCATTGTCCTTACTTCTTACCCCTAAGCAACCATTAACCTATTGTCTAGTTCTTTATTTTACCTATTTTAGCTATTATGAAAGCATAATATTTAGCTATTTAGCTATTGTGACTGGCTTCATTATTTAGTATAATGCTTTTGAGGTCACCCATGTTGTAATTTGTACTAGAATTTCATTTCTTTTTATGGCTAAGTAATATTCAATTATATGCATTCATGGGTTGATGGACATTTGGGTGATTTCTACTTTTATAGTTATGAGTAATGTTACTAAGAACATTCCAGTACAAGTGCTAGTATAGCTGGGTGTTTTCATTTCTTTTATATATATATGCAAAAGAGGATTTGCTAAGTCTCTCTAAGGAACTGCCAAAGTTAGCATTCTCACCATTGCCATAAGCAGTATATGAGAATTCCAATTTCTCCATATAATCCCAATACTTGTTATTATTTGTCCTTTAGATTATAACTGTCATTGTGAATATAAAGTCACCTCTCATTATAGTTTTGACTTGTATTCCTCTAATGGTTAATGAGACTATCTGATGTGCCTGTTGGTATTTGTATACCTTCTTTGAAGAAATGTCTATTCTAGTATATTTCCCATATTTTATTGGGTTGTCTTTATTTTTTTTAATTGTATGAATTGTTTATATATTCTGGAGATGAGTCCCTTATAAAATATGACTTGAAAATATTTTCTCCTACTCTGTAAATTGTCTTTTCACTTTCTTAAGGTTATCACTTACAGCACAAAATTTTGATATAATTCAAGTTATCTATTTTTTCATTTGTTACTTATGCTTTTCATATCATATTTAAGAAGCCATAGCCAAATCCAAGAACACCAAGATATACAACTATATTTTAATTTGAGTGTTATAATTTTGGCCCTTATATTTAACTGCATAATAGAATTGGAGTAAATTTTTGCATATATGGTTTGAGATAAGAGTTCAACTTCATTCCTTTGCCTGATGTCCCTGCACCATTTGTAGAAAAGACTACTCATATCCCCCAATGAATATCTAGGGATCTGTGTTGAAAATCAATTGGTCATTAATGTAAGAGTTCCTTTATGGACCCTCACTTCAGTTTCATTAATTTGTTTATTCTTAGGACAGCACTACATTGCCTTGATTATTGTAGTTGTAGGCACTAAATTTTGAAATCAGGAAATGTGATTCAAATTTTATTATACTTTATCAGATTGTTTTGACTATTCTGGGTACTTATTTAGGCAAGGCAATACTTTCCCCACTACTATTCCCCTGCAATTTTATATGAATTTTAATATCAACTTGTTAATTTCTGCAAAAAAAGCAAGTTGGGATTTTGATAGGTATTATATTGAATCTACAGATCAATTTGAGGAGTGCCAACTTAAACATTTTTTTTAAATAATAAATTTTATTTTTATATTCCCCCATACAATTGCAACCCCCCCATTCTGACCCCCATCCCTCCCCTCCCGCCCCCCACCCCCCAAAAAGTGTCTCTGGTTCATAGTTTTTTGTTTATTTTGATTTTCACTTTCTTATAGTTATTCATTTTCCTGGTCCCTTATTTAAGTTTTCTAGATTCCTGCTATGAGTGAGACCATCCGGTATTTTTCTTTTTCTTTCTGGCTTATTTCGCTGAGCATGATCCCTTCCAGTGCCATCCATGTTGCTGCAAATTGCACGTGTTTATCTTTTTTGAATGCTGAGTAATATTCCATGGTATATATGTACCACATCTTCTTGATCCAGTCATCTATTTTTGGGCATTTGGGCTGTTTCCAAAGCTTACCTATTGTAAATAGTGCTGCTATAAACATAGGGGTGCAGGTGTTCTTTGGAATTGATGTTTCTGTGTCCTTTGGGTAAATACCTAGGAGTGGAATTGCTGGATCATATGGAAGCTCTATGTTTAGTAGGTCCAGAAATCTCCACACAGCTCTCCATAGTGGTTGGACCAGTTTGCACTCCCACCAACAGTGCAGAAGAGTTCCTTTTTCTCCACACCCTCGCCAACATTTGTTGTTGCTAGTTTTTTTAATATGTGGCATTCTCACTGGTGTAAGATGGTATCTCATGGTAGTTTTGATTTGCATTTCCCTGATGACAAGTGATGTTGAACATTTTTTCATATGCCTGTTGGCCATTTGCATTTCCTCTTCAGAGAAGTTTCTTTTTAGCTCTTCTGCCCATTTTTTGACTGGATTATTTTCTTTGTTATTGCTGAGTCTCATCAACTTAAACATTTTTAAACAGGCTTCAAGATTATATATTTAATTAGAATACTATATATACAATTTGATCAGCACTTAAAATTTCTTTTATTGGGCCTCCCTGCTGGCGCAAGGGGTTAAGACACAACCTATAAAGCTATCAGCAGCCACTGCAGCATGAGTTAGATTCCTAGTTGGCCACATGGCACAGCAGACCTCTCCTGTCTCACCCGCTGCTCCCCTCAGCAGTGTATTTCAGTAGATCTGCCTGTTCTGCTCCCCACTCTGTCTCTGGTGAACCCTCTCACCTCCCGCACCCCTGGCCTGTACCTCAGTTCTTGTATGCACAAATAAAATAAATCTTTTTAAAAAAGCAAGTAAATGAGTACAAATACATTAGAGGCATGATTCAAAAAACTGAAAAATATTTAAAACTAAAACTACAGAAAAATCAGATACAAAGTAACAGCATCTGAATGTACATAAATTTAAGCATATAGTAAAGGTCTAGAACCAGCATAGGTGTGTATATGCAGTGCAGACTGTTATACATGCAAGTCTCATTCACACCAACTGAGGCTTAAACTAATCCTTGTTAAACTTGGGTTGGGTTAACTATGGGTGTTACTGACATTTTCAACACATGTAATTACTTAATACGATGTCTATGATGTTTGTATAAGATAACCTCAAACTGTTTAAGTAGAAAAAAAAATGCCAAAGCTACAATTTTTTAATAAAAGTCTATGTGCCCAATCTTTGATACGAGAGCATTTTATATCAACCCTCTCACCAACAATTGCTGGAGTGACCATATAAAATAATGAAGTGATTTATATTAAACACAATAAGCCTGGTTTTTTCTGGTATATTTACTCAAAAACTTTTTTTTTTTATTAGTTTGAAAAAAAGAATGAGAGACGAACAGAAAGAGTAGTCCTGTTAACATTGCCCTTTAGTCCAGGTCTGTGTAAAAGAGGGAAATCGTATTTCTTAAGGTTTCTATGAAGCATGACCGGGACATATTTTCTTTATGTTTTATATCAAAGAATCACTTTGTTTTATAATAAAGAATCACTCCTTTTCCTCAGAAGTATCTTTTCATTTCCTATAAGACTTTAAGAAAACTTAGGGAAGGGAAACGGTTAGATAAAAGAATGCACTGATTTGCGTATCCAGGGACCATTATCCAGCAGTCCCAGCGGGGACAACATGAAAGCACCCAATGTCACCCCTCAACTGAAATCTTCACATGTTAGTCACTTGGGACCTAATGATCCTCAACCTCCAGAATGTAATAACGGCTCAGACTGTAATATCTGGCCAAGAGATATCAGGAAAAGATTGTTATCACCTTCAGTATGATCTGTTCCTACACAGCAAGGAAGAAAAACTTGAGATTTTCTGTTGAAAACAGCTAGCAATCATGCGTACTAATATTTAAAAGACTAGCTTTAGCTCTCTGGGACGCATTATCCAGAACTTTCCCCACTACTATTCATGATTTAGATTGTGTTGTAGTTTCATTTTTTTTTTAAATCTAATATTTAACTGAGACCTTTTAGCAATTTTGAAATATAGCTCTGCATAATTAGCATGCATTGGAGTTCTTTTTTCACAACTCCCTGTTACACTGGACTTGGTTAAACCAAACCCAACATTACTAATGCTACAAGTAACTGCATTTAGACTCGGTGGACAAGTCCTGCAGTCTCTCTTAGAATACCAGAGAGCGGACGCTCAAAGCGCGCGAGGTGTCCGCAAGAGGTTAACACAGTGGTCTTGGCACACCTGAAATTCCACCTTGTTAGTTTCCAGCAACTGGGGAGGGAGGGGCAAGTCGAAAGTTGCAATTCTGCTTAACGAAGGCTCTGAACGCTGCGCACACCACGGCGCTCTCCTCATTTTATCCCATGGGTCGGAGCAACTTTCTCTGCAACGGGCCAGCCAGCAATTGTTGAGACTGAGCAGCCGAGCCTGCCTGTGGGGCAAGCCCCGGCTGCGCGGGTGTGGCCCGGGCGGGACGGCACCCCGGCCCCGCTGCAGGGAGGGGAAGGAACGGGCGTGCCTGGGACAGCCCGTTATTCACAGACCGTGAAACGCGCCTGTCACGCTGTTCACCGGCCGCGAAGCCCGCAGCTCACGCGCGCGGGAGAACGCAGAGACGCTCCCGCCCGCCCAGCCCCGCCCCGCCCCCACACGACTCTCGTCGGAACACGAAGCCAACCAAGGCGGGTGTCCGCATAGGAGGGGCGGGGCCCCGCGAGTCAGGGGTGCCCGCGGGCAGCGTCCCTTCACTTTGGGGTCCTCCGCCCGGGTCTCTGAACGCCGGGGCGGCCGGGAGGCCGGGCAGCCGCGGGACGCCCCTCCGCGCGCCGGGGCAGCACCTGGAACCGGGGCGCTTGGGAACTGCAGGGACCCCGGAATAAGGAGGCGGCCGGCCTCGGGGGCGGGGGAGGGGGCGGGACGGGGGGGGCGGGGGTAAGGGGGTGGGGGCGGGGTGAGAGGGCGGGGCAGGGGTACGGGGAGGGGGTGAGGGGGAGGGGGCAGGGGTACGGGGAGGGGGAGGGGGCGAGGGGGGAGGGGGGGGGGGGGAGGGGCGAGGGGGAGGGGGCGAGGGGAGGGGGCGGGCGGGGCGGCCGGAACGCCGGAGGACCCCAGAAGCGTCCCCTAGGTCGCTGCCCACTGAGGGCGGCCACTCACTTGGAAACGCCGGCACGAACAAAGGCCATAGCAACAGAGTCACTAGAAGAACTAGGGACTTCATAGGCATCGCCCGCAGCACTCCGCCATGCGACGGGAACGTCCTGGGGCCGCCAGGCCGGGTACCTCAGGGCCAAAGGGAGAGGGAGCCGGTAGCCGTCCGTCCTGCCTCAGGGCCCTGGGCGCCCGGCAACGGTTGTCCCCAACGCGCATGCGCAGCGAAGCGCGAACGGCCGAGGCCCGCCCCCTTCTAGGGCAGCGCGCAGGGGGCGGAGCAACCCCCTCTTCCCCCCCCCGCCCCGTGCGCATGCTCTCTCTGCCCGCGAAGCTCTGCGCTCCGAATGCCTCGACGCCCTGGAGACCGCGGTGAGGCCTGGGGAGTGACGGGGCCCATCCAGGGAAGCGGGGCGTATGGGAACACGATCCCTAAAATATGGTCCCCGCGCGTAAAGAGCTGAGGATGTAAGAGCCTGACAAGTGACCTGGCCACTGTAACAGATGGAGGACGCGTTAGGCACGATGGTGCCCTGGAGAGCGCACCCCCCTCCAAAAGAGCTGGAGGGAGACTGTCCCATGGAAGAAAATTTCCTCGAACTCCCCTAGAACTGAGAGCAGTTTCTAGTTGCAGGGTCCAGGGGTGGAATGGGGGTTTGGATAGGGTAGGGATGGCTCCGAAACAGCTGTTGAAGGTGAGGAAATAAAAGTAGAGAGAGGCATTAAAGCCACATCAAGAGACTTGGGTTTCTTAGCTTTTCCCAGAAGATTGCATTCATTTTTCCTTCCTTCCTCCCTCCCTCTCTCTCTTTTTTTTTTTGAAAAGGTAAAACTGTAGTTATGGCGGCTAGGTCATTAGGGATGGAGAAAGAAGGGTGTAACTCTAACGGGATAACATAAGGGAGTTTTTTAGGATTGATGGATAGTTGTGGTGGCCTCAGAATCTATACACATGTTAAAATTCATAGAGCTGTACACTACAAGGAATCAGTTTTCTGTATGGTAATTTTATTTTTAATGCACAAGCATCTGTACCTCTGACTCAGGAAGCAAGAAATTCAGATATTATTCTGGGGTAATGGAGAGATACTGCAAGGATTTGAGCCAGGAAAAGTGCAATGGATTTGAATTTCAGAAAGCTTGCTCTGTTTGCAGCATCAAGAATTAGTTGCAAGAAAGCAAGACTAGAGACAGGGAGCCCAATTAGGACACTGTTTGGATAATACCACAAGGCGACGATTAATAAGGGCCTGAACTAAGGGTGGCAGAGGACATTTGGAGAGGTTGGGGCAATTTGAGAGATTATTTGTAGCTAGAATGAACAACATAGGAAATCGAATGTGAGGAAAAGAGATGATGCTCATATTTCTGGCTTGGGCATCTTGCATTTGTGGTGGCGAACACGGGTGGAGTGAGTGGAGGAAGAGTGTAAGTTTAGTTTCAACTTTGTTCTATTGAGATGACTTGAAACCTCCTACTGAAATGGCCTATCCAGTAAGCAGATGGGCCTGGGACCCTAGAGAGAGGTGAGAAGGAGAGGGAGCTTTAGAAGGGTGTATGAGAGAGCCTGAGTAAAGTTTGAGAGTGAGAAGGTCAGTGTGCCTAAGACAGATCCCTGGGAAACATAGGCAGGCTAGAAAGAATGGACCTGCAAAAGAGACTAAAAATGGGAGAGAAAAACCAGAGAAACTCCAAGAAAGAGGGGGAATCCAGGACTGTCAGATGCTTCTGAGAAGTTGAGCAAGAGAAGAATTTGATTTAGCCACAAGATCTTTGGCAGAAGTAGTTTCAGTGGAGTGGTTTGGGCAGAAGCCAGACCACAATGAGTTGAGGAATGAGTAAGAGTTGAGGAAGTGGTGACAGCTGGTATAGACAACTTTTCAAGGTGGGTCCAAGAGCCTGTAATGTGCTCTACCAATACCTAACACAAATGTAGCAGCTTTCTAGAATCAGTTACAACTATTTGGAAAGCAATTTGGAATTGGAAACAAAATGCTTTATAATATTGATACAATTATTCAATGAGGTGGGGCTGGGGGGAGTAGGGATATGTCCTAAAAAAAACAATAAATCATCAATAATTTTAAAAATTACAAAATAAGAGAATGATAAATTATATGTGTTGGTTAGAATATTGGGTAATTATTAAAGTGACTCTCAAAAAGCATATCAAACTTGAGGAAATGTTCACATTATAGTGGATCTTATTTGAGGTGTTAACTGAAGTCTCACCCTCCTTAGGCCTCCTTGTGCCACTGCCTTTCATCCCACCATTGAGATATCAGTGATCACCTTAATGCGTTTGAGTCAAGGAAAAACAACTAGAATCTCCAATAGGAAGGTTGTAAGAAGGGTTGAAAATTACACACACACACACTTCAATTCATGGTGTAGGTTGAAAGTCAGAGCACTTTTAAGAGCTGCTGCTTAGGTGAAAGTATTTCTTAATTTGTGTTTTCAGTGAATATATTAGGCTTTGAATATCAAAAGACAAGGAAAGGGCCTCCCTGGGGGCACAGCGGTTGAGTGCTGGGCTGCGAAGCTGCCCGCAGCCTCTGCAGCACCGGTTCGATCCCCAGCTGCTCCCCGGCCACCAGAGGAGGGTCCCACATGGCGCGCAGACCTCTCCTGCCGCCCGCTGCTCCCCTCAGCAGTGTACTTCGGTCCTTCTGCCTGTTCTGGCTCCCTGCTCTGGCTCTGGTGAATTCTCTCACCCTCCCGTGCTTCTGACAATACCCAGTGCTTGTATAAATGAATAAAAATAAATCTTTAAAAAAAATTATAAAGAAAAAAAAAGAAATAAAAAAAAAAAGCCAAGGAAATTGGAGGACAAGAGAGCATAAATCATAGATTAAGAATAGATTCAAGATGATTAAGGTCTGTTTCTCTGGAGCAGGTTGCAGTTTGCAGACAGGACCCCCCACCTCAAACAGGTTTTAGAGACTATGGAAATTTTGGCTCCCTTTCCAGAGTAGAGTTCAAGGAAATTGAGTGATGGGCTGCAAATAAGAGGAGCAAATACGATGTTTGTTAGGCCTAGCTGGGGTTGTTTTTGCCTGTGTGTGTGTGTGTGTGTGTGTGTGTGTGTGTGTGTAAATAAACATGCCTACATACACACGCAACACACATAAGACCTTAGTGACTTTCATCTTGTGGACTGTCAAAATGAGTTTAGTTCTATGTATTCTATGAGCTACGTACTAACATAGAAGAATTTCCAAAGTATGGCATTGAGTATTTTTAAAAGTGCAGAAGACACATATCTACTTATGAAAATCACAACACAGTTACATATTTACATGAACACCCCAGAAATCATTCTGGAAGGAAATAAGCAATAGCAGCACTTTTTCTAGGAAAAGAGATGAATTTGGGCAGACAACCAGATATTTTGAAGGGAGAATTTTACTTTTTAACTCTAAATATTTTCATAGCCCTTCAATTTTCCAAACAAGATTTTATATTATGCATTACTCGTGTGATTAAAAATAAAAACATTTTATAAAATCTAGAAGCATGGGGGAGGGGAGCAGTAGTAGAAAATACAGGTAGTCTATGCCTCCTGCTTTCTCCTATTGACTTCACAGAGATATTTTTAAGTGACTAATTCACTACTGGGAGAGAGAGAGAGAGGGAGAGAGAGAATATTTAACCTGCATCTGTGCTTCACCTCTGGATTCTGTAGGCTGTATAATTCCTAATCACACCATATCATTTAATGTTATTTCACCTATTTTATTTCCCCTTTATGATAGCTTATGCTGCTCTCTTTCACACAGCATCTTGATTGTCGGTAAAGAATTAATAATAGCTTGTGGTCTTGCAGCCCAAAAGAAGAGAGTCTTACCCTGCTCACCAACCTCCCAGACCTATCAAAATCCTCTTGTGTCTTAAGGCTCAAATGCCACATTGGCTAAGAATCCACCCTGCTCTCCTCCCTCCGATAGGGATTGTGTCTTCTCTCTCCTATATCTCCATAATGCTATGTTATAGCCATTATTTTATTAAATTACTATAATTTATGTTTTTACAAGCAAACCTTCTCTATACCAAGGTCTTTGAGGGCAGGGAACCATATCTAAATTATCTCTGCATTGCACCCTACCCCAGCCTGACCAAAGTCTTAGAGTTACACTGTGCTCAATAAATGTACGTCTGAGTTTAATTGAAATTGAAAGGCTGAGGGGCTTTTATACAGGTTTTTTTTAAACCCTAAAAAAGGAGCCAAGAATAATGTCCCAGCTACAAAGACAGTTCCCAAGCACAATTTTCAACTTTAAGAAGTGACTCCTCACATCAATAGTACCTATGACTCCATTATATAAGCCCAGACCTACAAATATGAGGTGAAACTAATGGCAAGTGGTCTTATAATCTGCTCTTTATCTACCTCTGCAAATAAATCTGAACAACACATTGCTAATTGTGGAATTTCTGGGTCAAGTTGAATTTACCAATTTCCATACCTAGTAATAGTATAGTGACTTAGTAATAGTGGGTGGTGTCATCTTTTGAGGACCAGCCATACTTTTTTTTTTGGGGGGGGGACAGTTGCTTCTGTTGTCTTTTGAGCTTTGAAGGGTGTTGATCCACTATGGTTTTTATATCGTGTTGACAGTTACCATGTCCATGGGCTGCATGGACTCCTCAAAAGCAATGATTTGCTCCTCCAGCTTCTGCTCCAACCTTATCATCTTCAATTCCACACATCAGCTCCACAGTCGAGCCCCAGATCAAGCCATCTCACTGAATATTTCTGACTCTCTCCTCTAATTTTGTTATGTGTCTCACCACTCCAAGGTTTCTTAGCCAACAAAGTAGATAAGTTGGCAACAAGTATGGTTTTTGACTTCTTTGACTCCTATGGTACAAGCCATTCTCCTCTAAGCCTCTTCACTTCCTCATCTCCCTCAACATCAGATCCAAAGAGATCAGTGTCATCATCATCTTTACTGTCTGGGGCTCCATTCCTTGTTTTCCTCCACATTAGCAGGGCCCTGTGTGCCCAAAGCCTGGCAGACTGGCCAGGCTTTCCATAAGACTTGATGTGATTATAGTAATTTAGGGCATGATGTAAGTTGGCAGATGATGAGCGGGTACTGTTTAAATACTTCCCCATCTGTGTCACGTGTGTGCTGGCACAAATCTCTCAACATAGTGCTCATCCTTCAGGTAATCATTGAGCACTTGGAGACCCTTGGGGCTT